TGGAATTACTTTTCTACAAAGGGAATTCAAATATTACGCAATCCATCTTCAACAAAAACTAGCTCATTTCTGTCAAAGCTAGGAAGTGTACCACAATGGCACCGTGTACCACGCCCACAGTACGCAGCAAATGCAAACGTTCTCCCCATCTTACAGAAGAGAAACTGGAGCTCAGGGAGGCCAACGGATTTGCCAAAGATAAGTCAAATGGTTAAACAGGGCTCGGCTTCTGTCCAGGTTTCCTGGCCTAAAATCCAGGGCTCTCTAGATTTCCCTGTGGTCAAGGGAAGGCCAGCCACTGGACAATAGGCACTGCTTCTCAGGACAGGGACCTGGAAGCTCCGCGTCCTCACTACAGTATCACCCTGCGGATGCACCTGTAGAGGACCCCTAGCAGGGCACTGCTTCCTACCCCAGGTGTGGCTGTCTGCCAACGGTGCTGTGGCCAGCTGCAGAAGCGGACTTGTGAGACCCCCTCACCAGTGCAATGTCGTCTGGCTTCCCCCGGGCGCATCTCGCACACCAACTGAAAACAAGAGACTTCCTCCTGCGCAAACATAGTCTTGTCCCATCCAGGAGGAAGGCTGCAGACACAAGTCTGTCACTAATCAACTGCTCTTGTAACCAAACCCATGACATTTTGAAAGAGATGGAACTTGGGTTTTCCACTCTTCCGTAAGTGGGGCCTCCATCCCCAACACTGTGGAGCAGGAGCCCAGCATGCACTTCAAATCCCAGTACTGCCACTGACGGCCCATGCCGGTGGCCCTGGGCAGATCATGCTCACTCTCGGTGCTTTGGTTCCGTATCCACAAAGGAAAAATCACAACTGCAAAGTCTCGGCCTTCCTTCGTGGGCTCACCAAAATGCCACACCAATTTCCAAAACACCAAAATTCCACACTAATTTCACCAAAATGCCACACCAATGCCCAGGGCAAGTTATTACTTCTCTGAAAGGCCTACAAGAGAGGAGGGGATGCTTCCTTCTGGAAGGGACACACATCGCATGTTTACCCTCTGCCGGAAAGCACACCGGCCCTTGACAGCTGCCTCCTGAGCCGATGCCATTTAAAAAGCCACGCTTGCTTTTCCCCGTATCTGCTGTGAAGTAGCTGGTCACTTTCATCTACTGACAGTCTTGTTCAAACTTCATATGGGAATGAAATTGAGAGGGAAAAGGGAAGTGGTGAAAGAGGGGAATGAACGGCCTCTGCTGCCCCGACTGAAACAGACAACCTTATACCACAGGCACCCAGGCGACAAGAAACCTCTTGAGTCCTGGGCCTGCCTCACTGCAGAGGCACACGCTGCATTCACGCACTTCAAAGCCTGGCAGATGCACCACATCTTGGCTCTGCCACCTGCTGGCTTCTCCACTCCCTAAGCACCTGTTTCCTCCTCATTCAAAATGGGGGCCCAATGCATCCCTCACAGGGCAGACAGGAGAAGCTGCGTGTGGTAGTGGCCATGGTGTACAGCACACAGGAGACCTTAACAAAGGTGGACCCCCAAGCTCCTGGCTCCTCCCGGATAATAACCTGATTCACAGGGAGAGCTGGTGTGGGTGTGACGAGCGAGATCAGTGGACAGACGCAGGCAAGGAAGGTTTGCAGAAATGGCCAGATAATGAAACACCTTCTATTTTTCCAAAGAGGTGAATCATTTTCTTTTAGGTGTCAAATGAATAGCCAAATGTATCACACTCAAGAGCTACCATGGAAAAAGCCAGACAGGCGCTCGCTTCCACTCAGGAGCCGCTCCTAATGACGCAGAAAGGCTCTGTGGCCCCGAGTAACCTGGATCTGAAGGGTGACACACACCCCACCAGAGCACCTCCCGACACAAGAGGCGCGCTAGCTTCCAGAGTCCCACCAAGCTCCAGTTCAGCCCATTTCTAAACAGATTTAAACTCCAACCCATCCCTCCCACCACCCACTTCTGAGACCCCATTCTCAATCCGGGGACTTTACCAGCTTCTTTACAAAAGCTGAACTTTAGAAAACATACACACACTCAGACAGGAGGGGAAAAACCATCGACATGCACAAAATTGACACCCTTGAATCTATTCCTGTTTCCTCAACCCTCACCTCCGGGAGCTCTTTACCGTCACTGAAGCGCAGTTACCAACCACTGGAAGTGACATGAGCTTAACGTCAGAATCACTGAGCTTAATTAAGAAAGTAACTCCATCTAGCTTCTCCCACCAAGTAAAATTATGTTTGTTCAGCTCTTTTTTATTTATTGCCAAAGGACAGATTTCATTTCAAGAGCAAGGAAACCAAACTCATCCTGAAGTCAAGTCTGAATTTAGCACTTTCACTCGGCTCTGACTGCAGAGGCCCAAAGGCTGTGTGCTCACACCAAAGGGGCCTTAGTGACGAACAAACCAAATGTAAGCAGGACCCACCAGGCTTTCCATCAGGGGCGGGGGATCAGGCGGCGTGTCTACCCTCTGTCTACACTGCAAACACAAGCTTTCCGAAGCCCCTTCCCTTGCCCCCCTGTTGGCGTGCAGACTCAAGACTTACCTGACACATTAATGGACGCCCCCGCATCAATGATCCCACTGTTGGGCCTCACGCAGTACCTACGGGGGGCCGTGGTCTTCACTTTAAAACACACATTTCGGTCTGTCGGGTTGCCAAGCTTTAGGTTGGTGGTGACGACATCGGTGAAGGGACCTGCGGAAGAAGACGGAGACTGTTGGGGATCTCATGCAGAAAGCTTAGAAGACTGGCTCATTTACAGCTGGGGTTGGGAGGAACCATGGAATATGGTTAAGGGGAAGATTCAAGGCCACAAATTATCTCAGTCACACGTTGCTGGTCAGCGGACGGGAGCGTTGAGCTAAGGCAGCCACCCAGTGACAGCAAGTCACTAGCATGTAGGGTCTCACTGGCAACTCATAACTCTCGTGGTTCTGCTGTTCAACAGATGAGGAAACAAGGCTTGGAGAAGACCAGTTACTTGTCCAAGTGCTAGCTAGTGCTAGTGCTACCACTGCTAGCTAGTGGTAAGGAGCAGCTGAAGCCAGGCATCCTGAGTCTAAGGTCCCTTCTTACTGAGGCTAAATACCGTCTTCTGTAACAGCCAGATGAAATCAAGCAGTTTTATAAAAAGGACTAGACCTGGGCCTCGAAGACCACTGAGGGCAGAGTGTGCCAACGGTAGCAGATAAAGACAGACTTGGAGGTGATCATGTCTCTAAGCTCCCCCAACACAGTGTGGCTGCCAGAAAAGTGAATACATCTTAGGCAAGAAATTCTGAGCTCTGCTGGGCAACCCACACCTGAACCATCACATTCAGTCCTGACTACCCAGGCCCCTGGGAAGACAGAAACAAAGCTCAGGAACCCTAGGGCATTTTGAAAATTATTTACTTCATTTCTGACTTTATTAGATTTTCTTAATTAAAGAGTAAGACATGCTTCTTCAACAAACCAAACAATAAAAGACGTATAAAGAAAAAGTTAATAACCTTCCCCTTGCCCCCTGAGGTAACTGAAATTAAAAATATGAGAGGTATGATGGTTAAGGTTGTGTGTCAGCCTGGCTGGGCCATGATTCTCAGTGGTTTGGCAGTTCTGTAATGATATCATCATCCCCCATGATGTGACTGGAGCTGATCAGCCAATAGTTGTAAAGGAAGCTTCTTCCAGGGGTGGCCTGCATTCTACATACATTACAATGGATGGTCTGGCAAAGGTCGCTGCTTGCTCGGGATCCAGCACCTGGCTCTCCATCATCACCTGACCTCAGTTCTTAGGACCTGAGCTAGCAGTCCATCATGTGACCCGCCAATTTTGGGACTCACCAGCTTCCACAGCCCCATTAGCCAACAGCCTGCCATCCGAACTGCCAGTTTTGAGTTCATCATCCCTGCAAACCACATGCGTTAGGAGAAGGTTTCAGTCCGCCAACTGACCCGTGGAGTTTAGACTTGCCAGCCTCCACAATCACATGAGCCACTTCCTTGAGATAAATCACATCAATCAGTCTATCATTGATCATTGATATACACACTTCACTAGTTTTGCTTCTCTAGAAAATTCAGCCTAAGACAGGAAGGGCATTGCTGTCACTAAGTTGTACACCTGTAAAAAGTTGAGCTGGCAAAAGTTGTGGCAGATATATATATAATGACCAAAAAAAAGAGTAGCTGCTGAGGCTGCTTACTTATGTACAAACACCTTGGTTTTTTGTTTTTTTGGGGTTTTTTTGGTTTTTTTTTGCTTTCTTGCTTTGGAGTTTAGGGTCATGGTTTCATAGGTCATCCCAGTTAACTGTCCCAATAACATGCTCAGTGCCTCTGTTCTACCTCCAAGTATGTTGCATAGTACTTGGGATCTTAAAAGTTTGCAAGCAGCCATCCAAGGCACAACAATTGGTCCCTTTTCACCTGGAGCAACAGAGGAAGAAGAAGAGTAAGGAATAGGAGAAGGATATGGAACGTGTGGCTAGCTGCCTCCAAGAGCAACTGCTTCCTCTGCCACGAGACCAGAGAAAGTGGATGGTGCCCAGCTACCATTACTGACC